CCACCCCCTCCCTTGGTTTGATTTGTGTGATCCTGATATGTGAGGTAAAATTACTTTATAGACATGTGTATGTTTTGGTTTGCTCACTAGGGCTGAGAAATCTAATGAAAATTCCACACGGGATAGCCATGCCAGGAATAAACTTTATGCATATGGATTTACATATGAATACAAGCACAATGTGTCCACCTGTCTTTACATATGCATATAAGAGTATGTGAATAAAGTGTGTGTGTGTGTGTGTGTGTGTGTGTGTGTGTGTGTAGGGAGAGAGGAAGAGAGAGACTGTATGTGTTCTGAGACAGTAAGACCAGTGTTTGAACCCTACGTCAATCACTAATTATCTGTGTGACCTCGAGCAATTTCTTAAACTTCAAGGGCTTCATTTTCCTCATTGGCAAAATAAGGATAGGAGTAGTATCTATCTCATAGGGTTTTGTGAGAATTAAATAAATTAATACATACAAAGTGCTTCTTGGTACAGCATATGCATTCAATAATCACAGCCAGTGATTTCTGTTATCACATAGGGTAAATGGTAGATATAGACATACACCTAACAGACATTGAGGAGATCAGATCCTCCCTATTCACTCAGCCAAAATTCGCAGCACCTACAGAGTGCCAGATGCCATGCTAGAGTGCTCAGGGATGCAAAGATGGAGAGTCTCTGCTCTCAGATGTACACCTGTGATCCTGCACAGTTCTCCCCAGTGCGGACCACGGTGGACCTCCTCCCTCGGTACTTATCCTCTGTCTCTAATCTAGCACCTGGACAGAATAGGCTGTTGGCACCCATTCTGGCTGGGAATTATGATAGAGGCCCCAGGCCTCTATCAGTCCTTCGTCACCCACTACTACTCTAGCTGTTGCATTGGCCCAAAAAGGAATTGTGAGATTCCCAAACACACTTCTCCATCCCAGCTTCATGGAGAGACTCACTCACGAGGCCCCTCAGGTCTTCTTTCCAGGTCCTGGCGGACAGGATAAGCCATGTTTCCTGGGCTCTTGTCCCCTATCACAAGGCATGAGCCACTTTCCTCCAGGGAGGCCTCCAGAATGTTGCATAGTAAACAGAGAGTGGGCCCATGGGAACAGCAGCCCCACAAACACAGCCCTTCCTGGGATCAGAGGTGAAACCCCGGCTCTCTTGTGCAGGAGAAGCAGGGTGTGCTTGGAGTATGACACTCTGCCACTAACCTGCTGAGGCATCTTTTCTGCCACCTTCTCTTATCACTTCTCGCTCCCAGCTCCAAATACCCCCAGTGGCATCTGTCTTGTAAAGAGCAGGCTTTGCAGTTTATGACCTGCTCTGGTAACTGCCCTGTTCCCATGGGATGGTGTGTTCTGTGCTTCCCATTTTACGAGGGAACTGAGCTCTGAGATATTACAACTTGCTCGAGGCCACACAGCACAAGGTTAACATGACAGAATTTTGAGGTCAACATTGGTTTTACCCAACTGCAGTTTATTTTCATTCGTATACTCACTCAACAAACTTATTGAGGGCCTACTATGTGTGACAGAGACAGGCGTGGGCAGGGCCAGTGCCAACATTACCTGGCAGAGCCCCTGTTCTCCTGGAGAAGATGCACGAATAAGTAATTCATTGTAATTAAGTGTGTCGGGTATTGTGGCAGAGGAAGCACATTTATTAAACATTGGGCCAGAGATCTCACGGGAGGCTGGAAAGAAGTTTACAGGAATGCATCTGTGACCAGCCCTGCCTAGGGACCTGTTGCTGTTCATGTCCCATGTCTGCCTTCTCATCTGTCCAGCTGTTCACCCAGGGCGGGGCACACAGGGATGCTCCCTGAGAAGAACACGGGCAGGCTCCCCGAGTGCTCCCTGCCAGGGTTGGGGCAGCAAACTCACGAAGAAGCAAAGTGGCAAGAGCAGTCCAGAGTTTGCGGCAGCCTGCCAGTGGTGGGTTATCGCTGTGCGGGCGGTGGAGCACCTGGGGGACGGAAAGTGAAGGAGGCGTGGCTGGGAAGTCCGCAGAGGTCGGCGCATTAACAGGGGGCAGAAAACGCCTTCCCTTAATTTCTTTTACAAATGCACACTAAAGAATTATTATTTTTTTTTATGAAGGAATTCTGCCTCATTGGGAGTAGCCCTCCTTGGTGTGAAATTTACAAATGTTTCAAGGAGTTTTCAGAATAGTAAGGGAAACAAAATAGGAGAGTCCCCTCTACTTACTGAATACTTATCCTATTCATGCAAGATGTTGTTTAATTTATGCAATCATTCTGACATGGGTATTGTAAGAGATGAGGAGTTTGAGCTTAAGTAATGTACTTAAGGCCACCCCGTGGAGAACATGAACCACTAGTTTCCACAGCTAGTAAATGGTAGAGGCAGGATTCAAACCCGAGTCTTTCTGACGTCAGAGCTCACCCTCTTAACCACCAAATCGCCCATGGTATCCTCCAACATGGAGACAAATGGCTGCAGGGTGGCTGGCACGTGTCATGAAGAAGCCTCAGAGAGGAGTGAGGAGGAAGGATTTTTAGTGTCTGTGGGGATTTGCCAGATAGCCAGTGGAAGTAAAGGCATCCCCCAAAGAGAAATAGCATGGGAAAAGAGCTATCTAAAGTAGCCTGGATGTCCAGGAAATCGCCAGTGGTGTGGTCTTGTTGGGTGGTGAGGAGAGAGAGAGGTAGTGAGCATGACAAGAGATGATGTTGGAGGGCGCCTGGGTGGCTCAGTTGGTTAAGCGACTGCCTTCGGCTCAGGTCATGATCCTGGAGTCCCGGGATCGAGTGCCACATCAGGCTCCCTGCTCAGCAGGGAGTCTGCTTCTCCCTCTGACCCTCTTCCCTCTCGTGCTCTCTATCTCTCATTCTCTCTCTCTCAAATAAATAAATAAAATCTTAAAAAAAGAGAGAGAGATATGATGTTGGAGAGAGGGCAGAAGCTATAGCATCAAACACCTTGTCCCCCAAGTGGTGGAACTTTGGGATTTTCCTGTATGTGAGGGGGAGCCATTGAAGAGTTTAAGGAATGGGATTAAGGTGAGGGGGTTGTAAGGTTATCATTTTTGCAGTCATTTCCAAAGAAATTTGGAGGCAGTTTGGAAAGCACTCTGGAGCCTGTCACCTGGGAGATGAGTTGAGACTACATGTGTTCACGTTTCTGATCATGCATCTTCCTCGATAAAGAAGTCTTCACAACAGATTCCCAGTGGATGTATTATTATTCATAAATGGTCACAATACAACTGTATTCAAACATTACCTGCACTAAAATGTACACAAAAAGTAGACGCTAAAAATACGACATAAAACTAAATGTGAGTCTTGGGACTAGATGGAGCTGATGGTTGCACAATAATGTGAATATAGTCAGTGTCACTGGATTGTGCATTTTAAAATGGTTAATGGTTAATTTTATGTTATGTGACTCTAACCTCACTACAAATAAAACAAGTAAGCATGAGTAGATATTTAAGACTTTTCTCTCCCAACTCTGAATGTTCTTGCACACCTTGGGTACATACACATGCCCCTTTGGGTCCTGGGGCATTGATGACAAAGCCTGGAGTCAGGGCCTGGCTATAGGAAAGGAGAAGAGAGGAAGAATTTGAGGTGTGGTTTAAGAGGTAGAATTGACAGGGTTTGGAGATTAAAGGTTGAAGAGTATGTGAGAAAGGAAAGAAGGCAGGAAGACTCCCTATTTCTGGTTTGAATATCTTAACGTAAGAGAAAGAAAGGTTTTCCTCTTGCCAGGGACCTGATGTGGTCAATACTTGGATAATTCCCCAGTGGTTGGCATAGGCTTGGGTGGAGCAGTTTCTAGTTATGTTCAGAAGTGAATCCAGCCTGAAGATACAGATGAATGGCTCTGTTTGGACAAGGGTAATTGAGGGTCAAGCCTGAAGGAGCTGTATTAGCCAAGAATAAAGCAAGAGGCCAGAAGTAAGCAAACTCAGGAGTGGGAAACAGGAGCAAGTTGAGAGCAAGGCAGGAAGGATTTCACAGGTTTCATGGAAAGGATAGAGACCAGGGTTTCATTTTGGCCAGTTGAGAGACGGTGCCTGGGGAACATCCTGGGAGAGCAGCAGAGACTTGTGAATATATGGATGTGGGCTTGGGAATAGGCCACCTGTGGAGAACATGAACCACTAGACTAAGCATGGAGCCCTGGGGAGGGACAAAAATTAAGACGTTGACCGAGGAATGGGAGCCTGACAATGAGAGAGCTCACCTGACCCAAACCAGGAGAATGTGGAGTCATGGAGGCCAAGAGGGAAATTCCAGAAGTAAAGACATGGTCCCTGGTATCAAACACTGCAGGGGAACAGATAAGGCAGGAACTGAGAAAGTGTCCATCCGTAAGCTTCTTGGCAATGGAAAGTAACCCCAGATATGAATGGGGTAGAATGGAAGGGTGTGGGCAAGATGCCCTACTGTTCACTGGTCTGACTAGAGAGTGGGCATGAGTTGGTAGAAACCCTACAAATCAGCCTACAGATCACCCAGCCTTGGGTCATCTGATTACTGATCTAGTGCACCTTCTCTCCCACTGCATCTCTATTCCAGAAAGTTCTAGAAGACTTATTACAGACCACAGGCAGGGTAAGGCTTTTGGTTCTGGTCTCCTATGTATGGGCCGTTTGGGAAGCCAGCAGAGTTTCAGACAAGTCAAGTAGGCCATTTAAATCAGTGTACTTGATGATAAGAATGTATTTAAGGGATTCTAAAATGTTCTTTTAAGGAGTCCGCACAGAGTTAGGGAGAGGCAGAGCAGTAAAGAACTTCACCCTTGGCCTCCATGACCAACCACATTCTTTCAGTTTATGTCAGGTGGTCCCTCAGAGTGGGGCCCAGGCTCTTGCTTCCAGCCTTCTGGTAGACCTTGCCCTGCGGTAGGTAACAGGAGGGCAGTTGGGTATCTGGTGGGGAAATGCCATTGGCTGGTTTAGTCACTCGCCTCCACACTTTCACATCCTCTATCAGCACCTGCACACTTCAGTCGTGACCACACACACTCTTCCTGTTTATACAGAAAGTGCCATTCAGAAAGCTTGCCAGTGAGATGGGAGAGTCACACACACAGCCTCAGAAGAAAGAAGCTGAACGTCTTATCTGAGAGGGAAAGAAAAGGAGCCTGTGAGTTGAGAGGTAAGATCAAGCTGAAGAGCGTCTGGGTCCTCTGGGCTGCCATGGGTGGAGAAGTAACCCTTGCTTTGTACCCTTTTTGGGGGTTACATCAGAGTAGCCTGGCCCTCCTCCTCAGGACTGGGCAGCAGGGAGCACCCCCATTGCACCCACAGAGATAATTCAGCCTTGGATGAATGGCTGGACAGACTGAGGAGGCAGACTTGGAGTATGATCCGAAAAAGTCACAGAATTCACATGGCTGTAGCATATGAAGGATGTACAGCCTTGGTGTGGACGTGCTGATACCCTTTGTGATGATAGGATGATAGCTGGGCCTACGGGCCTTATTAACAGTGTGTCTGAACCTTATTTAGGCCGTTAGCTACACCCCCAAAAAGAGACTATGACATGGCCACAGACTAGACCCCTGTGAAAGGTCATAGAGATGATCTCCCAGAGCCCTGGTCACAGGAAGGAGAGAATATGTGTTTTGCCCTAAGGCCACCACTGCTTCTGCGTAAATAACCCAGAACAAATGACCTTCTCAACAACAGGGTCTGACAGCCCTAGCTCATATTCTCTGGATGGTGCATCATGTCAGACATCGTGCATATATATATGACACATTACATGTATATGTACAGACATACATATATATACATAGACACACATCAGATACAAAATAGCAATAGTGACAGTTTTTGAAACTAATGGTGTGATAAAGGATTTTTTTCCCTAATATGTGAATTCCTTCCTACTCAGGCTCACAAATGTAAAAGTGAAATCATGTGTAGATATAGAGTTCATAATCTCTTTTATTCAAAGGGTTGAAAATTCTATGAGGTAGAGCCATTCAGGTATTCTGCAACCTGATATTGCAACTAAAATAGGGTAAGCCAACCTAAATATAGGTAAGCCAACCAATACCCACAACAGCAGAGAAGTGGCAGTAAGTTTGTTCTTTGAGTCTTGAATGTACAACTAAATATTTATTTTTTAAAAATTATTCTGTCTGCTTTTCTCAGAAGCATTTTCCCCTTAGTGCAAAGTGAGAAAGAGTTCCTTCCTTTACCTAGGTCCATCAGGGTTTCTCATCTCACTGCTGATGTGAGATTATTACAGTGAAAGTAACACAAACACTCAATTTGCTAAGGTTTTGGTTTTGCTTCTCTTTACTGTGGTTCTCTTTCTCTGGGCAACAACCTGCATTTAGTCTTTAGTTATGTCATACATATTTTTTATTTATTTTGCATTTAGAAAGTGGAAAAAATATACATTGCTCATCCCCTGGATTTCTGGGTTCAAATCTTTACTCTAACACTTGTTGGGCAAGTCATTCATTATACCTCTCTGCATCAGTGTCCTGGCATCTGTAAAATGGGTACAACAATAGTCTCTACCTCTTAAGTAAGGTTTAGCAGAGCTGATACATGTGAAGTGCCTAGGAGAGTGCCTGGCACATTGAAAGGGCTCAATAAGTATTAGTGACCATCATTATTTTTTATCATCATCATCACCCTCTTTTCTGCAATTAAGCTGTCAGACTTGAAGGGAAATGGTAGGAGAGGGGGAAAGATTGAAGGCAGGATGTAGGGTCAGTAAATGGGGTATAAGGAGATAGAGGAGGTCAGAGCAAGGATCCTCAAGTGCAAGCCTTGCAAAGGTATAGTGGGGGGCGGGGGGTGGCCAGGAAAGGAGCCCGGGGCAGATCTTCCTATGAGTCACACTGGCAGTCAGAGCAAGCTCTAGAGCTTGGTGGATTTGATGACACAAGTTCATACACCTCTTGTGTGTCCATGTGCATAGCAACCTGGGCAGCAGAAACCTGTAACTGGCATCCAAATGACAGTACATGGCATGGGGTCAGTGTCTGTGACACGTGTGCACACGTTACATGCCTTCTCATGTTGTCGCATCAGATCCCTTGTGATTGTGCCTGTTTTAGAAGATCGCCGACAGCTGGCCCATGGGTGCAGAGACGGGTGGGACTGGGCAGAGCGGGGCCTCCGACTCCCTGCTCCTAGCCGTCAGGGTTGCCTCTGCAGTACTATGTGGTGTTGAAATGTGACTGATGAGAAAGCCAGGCTGCAGAGAATTCAGAAAAAAAGTTCAAAGTCACGCTGAGATTTAAGAGTCTGGGGAGGAGCTGGGTGCTGGTCTCTGATTTCTAGACCCTTTATTCTACACATCGGTTCGGAGGAAGAGCTTGCATCCTTGCATCCTGCCTCCTGAGGTTGACAGCTAGGGGACTCCTTCGATAAATCACTTTCTCTTTGGCGCTTCAGTTTCTTTATCTGTAAAATGGGTATAATAACCTGTCCTACTCAGTGCACAGGGTTTTAGGAGATTCCAGGGAGGGTACATTTGCAAAATACAATTCTATTATTTCTTTTTTTTTTTTGGTTTTTATAAACAGGTTTAATAAGAAGTTACTATAACTTAATATGTTCAGGTTATTACGATTCTATTATTTCTTATTCATGTGGGAGAAAAATGTGGAAAGCGACTTTCAGTACAGGACGTTAAAAGAAAAGGGAAAGGGAAAGTATAAATGATATTGGTTCTTAATGATGCGTCATTAGGGAAGATTTAGCTCATTCTTTCAAATAGCTGTTTTGCTCCCTGGTACTGATGTTCCATAATCTGTTGAATCATTCCCATATATGGAAAATTAATTTATTGCCAATTTTTATAATATTACAAATCAAACTGCAGCGACCGTTCTCCTACAAATCCTGTAGTACATTCTACCAGTTCTTTTTTTTGCGAATCTCGTCAGCAAATGGTGTTCTCGTTTTTGTTTTCATTGGCTTTTCTTTGATTATCAATGTGTTGACTCCCAATGTTTTACAACATAACTGCAAGAAAATAAAAACATTATCCCTCATCCAAAAAACAGCCCAAATCCATGTTCCTTTTAAAGGGAAGTAGCACTTTCTCATGATTAAAATACAAACAGGTGTTTGTGTACAAATACGAACCCATTGGAAAGCACCTTGCCAGAGATTCCTCTTTATACCTGTTACTGGTGCTAAAAATCGGGGGTGGGGGGCGCCTATCATGAATACAAGACAACGAGAGTCCTGCGCTAACTAATAAACATGACAATTTGATTTATTAATGGTCCTCTGCTGTAGTCTGTTGACAGATTTTTCCTTATGGAAAAATTACCATGGTTTAAATCTCTATCATATGGCACTTAATTCAATCGACAATATGTTACCAATTAGATCCTGCTTAAACTACCATCAGCCAGCAGACCACGGAACATATTAAGTAGGACAACAATCAGATAACTAATAAAATGCTTTGTGGCAGCTTTCTCAGGCCCAAGGAGCAGTGCTGAAACAATGGAAAATGAGGAGAGGAAAGGCAAAGCCAGCATTTACTTTTCCCTGCTCTGAACAGAAAAATTGGTTCAGGTTCTCCTGAAAGCATACAAAGGATTTGGGTTTGAGCTGATCATCGCATGTGCTGATACTCACTATCCCTCTTCCACCCCTCCATCCCCTTGCCTCCTTTGGTGATAAATTTGCAAACTGAAAGGCATTCTACTCCCAAATCCTCTCTAAGGTGATAATGGAGAACTTCAGCTCAGCCATGATGTCCCATTTAGTCACGTGTTTTAAGAGTCCACCTTTCCCCCAAGCACCAGCTGTTGACCACAGTAAGAGAATTCTTGCTAAGGGGGATGAGTTGCTTTTCTTCTTTTCGTCTTGGAATCTGGCCGTATCAGTCAGTGCACTGTTGCAAGAGAGAGAAACCAAACTGACTTGTGCTAAACAAAAAAGCAATCTTTTGGAACAATTTGGAACAACCAGGTGTAAAAGAGAGCAGCAAGTGAGGGAGTCTGAAGGCCAAGGCACCAGAACCAGTAAGAACAACATTAAGAACGACAGTAATGGAAATGTGAACACAGTCTGCGCCCTGTAATGTGGCCACCACTGTGACAGATAAGACCTCAGTTGTCCCCACTTTGGGGCATTCTTTATGTAAAATACAGAATCCCAGAAAGAAGGGAGAGTGTGATGAGCTGCATCTAGGTCTCGTGCCTGCCCCTAGGGAAAGGTCAGGTCTGTCCATTTGACTTCAGGCCCTACTTCCCAAAGTTCCGCACACGAAGGCATCCTCAAAAGGAAGAGCGGAGTGGTAATAGGAAGGGGTGGAGAGTTGGAAGGTGACAGCAAAAAATGACAAATGTCTGCCCCATGGTGACTACAGTGCAGCCTCTGAGTGGAGGCTGGCTAGTTATAAATGGGAGACATCAGCCACTGGTGGTTTGTTTCTATAGAGAGGTGTACAAAAGGCGGAATGAAGAGGTTGAGACCCCGTTCTTCCTGCATTCTCATTCTGGTCACTTTGCATCAATAGCTTTGCTTCACTTCTTCAGCATGAGACCAAGGAATTTTCTTAAGGACCTGAGCAATAATACGGAACTTCCTTCTAAATCAAAGTAATAGGTACTGTTTCCTCAGCTCTTACCTATGATGAGCATTTTATAGTCATGTTCTGAGTCCCCGCAACAGCCCTACAAAGTAGATATTCACATAGAGAGAATAGAGGCTCTAAGGTTAAGTGACTTGCCCAAGTGCATACAGTTAGAGGTGAGGTTTAAACCCTGGCTTCCCAATTCTGAAGCCTTCCACACCAGCCAGCCTTAAGGTGATCCTGAGTCCAGGCTTCACAGCAGCAGTGCACATGACATGATTTGAATAAAACCCCTTTTCCTCCAGGACACTACCGTGTGTGTGTCTGAGTGTGTGCATGTGCACGCATGTGTGGGTGCTAGGCACACATAACCAGGAAAAATGCTGAGAGGAAAGTTAGGGGCTCAGAGGAAAAACATCCCATATGTTACAACTTTGCCTGGGCTGTCCCTGTTTCTAAATGCCGTGACAATATTTTTTGAAGCAAAGATCAAAGGACATATGGTCTGACTCATGGGTTAACAAAGGGAAAATATTTGAAATTGGAAATATCTGGGACAATTTGAGATGTGCAGCTACAATCATTCTCAGAGC